TTTAAAGGGGTCATAGGATGCTACATGCACTTTTACAAATAGTTTGAACTGAGATGCGTGTTGGCAGTGTACACAACCACCCTATAATGATAAAAATCCACCCGGTGTTTTTTTTTTTTATCTGGTTAAATGTTTTCTCCTTTCTCAAATGAGCCGATCTCAGAGCCCTGTCTGTGTGATGTCACACAGACAGGCCCCTCCCACGATAGTTTGATTGACAGTAACGTTTCAGCACAGACTGGACTGGTGTCTTACCTTAGACCCGCCCTGAGTGAGCTGTCATCAGTCCGCCATTGTTTCACCGCCGGAGCAGATGTAGACAAGAATGACTCCTAACAAGCGATTGAGGTGTTCTGTTGTTGGATGTAATAATGAACATAGCAGTTAGGGCTGCACGATAAATCGAAATGGAATCGAGATCGCGATTCGACAGAAGCTGCGATTGTCATGCGTATCTTTCAGTGAAGCACGGTTCTGTGATCAACAGTAAATCTCCATCCAAAGGCCAGAGGGTGCTCTCGCGCTGAAACTCCAAATACGCCTCGCAGAAGAAACCCAGAAAATGCCTATCGCTGCAGCTGAATAAACAAGATTCAACTGCTTTCATTGATTCAACGTGACTAATAAACACACGACTACGGCAATATACGGTTTATCTGAGTTCTTATTATTATAATTTTCATTAAAATAAAGTATATTTAGAATGCAATGCCTTTATCACTCCTTAAATACTATGAAATATGTTGCGTGCCTTATTCTGTGTAAGAAGCCACATTATCTCACAGAAAGATTTATTTCAAACACGAGACTGACATTATGAAGTGAGTTTGGAGTAAAATTATGTTATTAAATGTGGTATTTTCACATGCTTTCACATGGAGCAGCATTTACTTCACAAAAAACAAAATGTGCATGACAATCGCATTGATTAATCGTGCAGCCCTAATAGCAGTCATTTACTCCTGACATCTGAACTCGCAGTGGATTTCGTTTGTTTCTGAAGGGAATGCTCCCTGAGTTGTGTGGCGTTTTATTAAGAATTTGATGATGCTTTCATGACACTACATGAGGCGGCTGCATGCCGCTCAACACTGGTCACTTTTGCTCTCCCAAAAATTGATGAACGTTTACATATTTGTGTTCTACAGTTAGGAATTAGACTACAGGAATTGTTGCATTATGAACTGTGAATATGTTATAATGAAGAAACCATATGTATGATGTTACTGGAATATAAATGCAAGACACAGTTATGAGTTTAAAAAAAAATGCTCTTTTCATTTGTTACAATGGTGGAATGGTTTTTCTGTCACGTCCTTGTGCTTAACAAAAGGTTGCCCATGCTGTGATGATGCTTTAATTTTAGCCATAAATTTCAAGAATCGTGTTGCGGATTATCATGCATCTGTCTTGCGTTTTCCTGTACAGGGAGATGAGCTAAATGAAGCCTTAGGAAAAGGTTCCCCATTGTCTGAGTCTGCTGGGAAATGACCTTCTTATCTGTGGTGATGTTTACATGAGGTCTGCAGCCTCTCTCTGATAACCAGTGCTTTTATAGCTGGTAGTACACCAGCTGAAGCTAATGAGAACGTGAATGCCAACCGATTTGCAGACGCAATATCAGTTGTAGACCACTTTAGTAACTCTTTAAAAATTGGCTCTGAAATAAGCTTAGATGTAGTTCCACTGCTATCTTCCAGATGTAGTTTTCCTATAGAAAGGAATGACATTTGTTTTCCATTTAGCATGATGGACAGATCCTTTATGAATTCATTTGTATGTGATTTTGGGGGGTTAAACGTTGTTAACCAAAATATTATTTTATTGTCTCAATGGCTTGAACAACTTTTTGTTAGTGAGGAACACTAGGCAAAATCTGGTGTATTTACATGCTGAAAAATAAAATAAAATCTCATGCTGGGCTTTTATTTGAAGAAGTCAGTGTCTCAATCTACATTTTTAGATGGTCTTCATTTGATTTGGCTTAATAACGTCAATGCACCATCACACAAAATTGCAAAAAAGTCAAATTCCTTACTGTTTGCCTTTCAAAGGGTAGTTATTTCCCAGACACCATTGGTTAATTTATGAGTGCTCACAGAGGCTGCAATTCTGTGTGGTTTTATTCAAAATTCACACACATTAATGAGTACATAAAACATTTGCCTTAACCTAAATCACTATGGTTGTAAGCCTATAATAATTATGTATATTTTCATCATCTGTCCATGTGTGTTTGACATATCCATAAATAAAGGAATACCATTAAATAATTAAATGTCTGTATAATATGGGTACTTTGAGTTGTAGGCTTTGTTCGGTTTGTTTTAAGGAGACCAATCAGGCTTAGTTAAAGAGACTATTAACTACTTCATTTAAATTATATTTTGTCTCTCACAATGTCTACAAATTTGTAAAACTGATCCAAGATCAGGTCAAAACCATACCGATACTGGTTCATGGGTTCAGAGATCCACATTTTGAAACGGTTATGACCTAATAAAGCCTCTTTTACTGAAAATCTTTGGCAGTTTGATACGCCTTCGGAATCACTGGTTCAAAACAAACGTGACTCTGGACCACAAAACCAGTCTTAAATCGCTGGGGTATATTTTTAGCAATAGCCAAAAAAACATTGTATGGGTCAAAATTATCAATTTTTATTTTATGCCAAAAATCATTAGGATATTAAGTAAAGATCATGTTCCATGAAGATATTTTGTAAATTTCCTACCATAAATATATCAAAACTTAATTTTTGATTAGTAATATGCATTGCTAAGGACTTCATTTGGATGACTTTAAAGGTGATTTTCTCAGTATTTAGATTTTTTTTGCACCCTCAGATTCCAGATTTTCAAATAGTTGCATCTTATCAAAATATTGTCCTATCCTAACAAGCCATACATCAAAGGAAAGCTTATTTATTCAGCTTTCGGATGATGTATACATCTCAATTTCGAGAAATTGACCCTTATGATTGGTTTTGTGGTCCAGGGTCACAAATTATTAGCAAAGGTTTCCAAGCTTCATGAAGCAGTGTTTCGAAAGCACCCATCACTATAATGTAGTGTAGGTAGCTCGTAACCTCTAAGAAAAGAGTTAGCAAGGAAAGGGGAAAGCGTTATTACCCGCAATAAAACGTGAATCAATATAGTTTGCACAGCATCGCAGTACATTAGCTGTGCACTGACTAGACTCACTAAACAGTTTATGTTGGTAACAACACCAACCTCTAAACCAGCTCGTACTTTGGTCTATTTGCCTATAAATAGCCTTTCCAAGTAATAGTTTCAATCGTTACACCTTATCTTATGAATAGATATAGTTATGGCTAATGTCAGCGTTGCCTAACTTTTGTAACATTATTTTAAAACAACTGATTTCAACAAGTCAAAACAACAGTGGCATAAGCTACTTACCTCCTCATTTTGCATATTTCCTGAATTTTATTGTTGGGAGAGTTTGATGTTGTTAGCTATAGATATGCATAGGATGTAATTGAGATTACATATAAAATATGCATATTGTATTATCTGTTTGATCTAATACAGTCCAATTCAATACAATGACAGTATTACAATAACACTGTGGCAAAATAAAAACAGCCTTATTTTTCATCTAAAGTAACCAAGAAACTATTAATGTATATTGTCTGGCAGTGTTTTGTAAGGGTTGAGAATGCCCTTAGGATCCAGCATGGCTTTAATGCTGCCCATGAGGGCGACAGCCTCTGAGGGTTTACTGTAGTAAATGTAGTTTCTCTTCTTCAGACCGAGCCCATGCTCTGCGCTGATGCTGCCTTTCCATTCGGATGTCCACTCGTACACATACGGCTCAATGGCAGCCAGTAGAGCGGGGTCTTTAGAGGGCGAAGTGATGTTCAGATGAAGATTTCCATCACCTGAAACAAAACAAAAAAATTATGGGCAAGGTTTGAGGGGGGCTGAACCCACTGTTTAAGGGTTTGTGCACATAAGTGCACTGCTGTCCAGAAGTTTAGTGTTGGTAAAATTTTTGAATGATTTTGAAAGTTATCTTTTAACACTAGACATCACACACTTTGTAAATAGTGTCTGAATGGACTGAAGTGAAAAAATCTGAATCTGTGCACAATTTCATTCATTACATGATTTTCTGAGACACCTGTCAACTCTTTGACTGCCCAAAATCTGCAGACTGGCTATAACTTTCAGTAACTAACCTCAACTCCACCAGACTGCAAATCGGGGCAAAAGTTCTGTGGTGTATTCCAGCTTCCAACTCAAAACAGTCCAGCAATTATTGTAAGACAAAAAGGTAGCCATACCTACATGTCCATAGCCCACAACATTCTTGGCCATGTCTCCAAGGTGCCCCCTCATGTCTTGGACTAAATCGTAGATCTTTTCCACTGGGAGGGAAATGTCATATTTGTAGGTGTAGCCTTCATGTGTCAGAGCTTCTGTGACTCTCTCCCTCAAAGACCACAATGCCTGTGAATGACACAAAATCTTCAGCACTAGACAGAACAAATGTCAAATTCTAAATCATGTTGAATTTTGCTGATCAACAGAAGTGAGCAGAGTGCCTTGATTTTTGTCGCCTCTGTTGCAACTGTCCCATCAGTTACTAGAGATGATGTCATGACTTCCTCAAGGAATTTGTGTAGTTTTTCTTCATCATGGGTTGCGTTGGATCCAGCGGTCTCGATGACAATGTAAAAGGGACTTTCTGCAACACATATCATTCCAATAATCCAATAAAAAACAGAAATGAGGGTTATCCAACATTTTTTAAACATCTACCTACCAAAAGTTGTCATGAAATGAAAATTCACACCATATATATTTTCTAAATGGGTTTTATTGATCTTATTGTGAATGATTCAGCCATGCATGTTTTTTTGACTTCAGTCTTCTGGTCAATTGATAAACTTCTCCAATCATACAGTCTGCTTAAACCCCACCCCTTTCTTACAATTGACCTTTAAGCTCACATTCAAATCTGCTTCCATCTAATGAATAACCGCAGAGCAGAACCAAGTCCCCAATTCTATGTATTTTCCGATAGTCCACCTAACTTGGATGTACGTCACAAAAGAAAAGATCTGTTACTACTTCCATCTCGACTTTAAGAACACAGATACCCAAAGTTGTCTTTGAAACAGTAAAGACACTAGTGTTTACCTGTGATGGGGTTGGTGAGTTTCAGATGCTTCTCCAGAAGGCTCATACAGGAGGCATCTAAAAACTCAAAAGCAGACAGGATTTCTCCCAGCATCCCTCTACAACGCTGAAATGTTTCCAGCAGTTGCTGGAAGCTGGAGCACCCTGCAGGACACATGAGGAGCTGCAATAAGTTTTTTAGCCACACTATGTGCATGAAAAGGAGAACTGAGGGTTAACTGAAACGATAACTATATTAGCATCATTTTACCTAAAAAAGCTACATTGACAGCTTTAGGCTTGTGGGGGCACAGGATGGAAACTGCAGTAATGACTCCTAATGTCCCTTCTGAGCCAATGAAAAGCTGCTTGAGGTCATAACCAGTGTTGTCCTTGCGAAGTGTGGCCAAGCAGTTCAAAATCCGCCCATCTGCCAAAACCTACACATGTGAGACATACAAGAATACTACTTAATAGTAGCCATTTAGATCCTTTTCATCATATAAAAAGAGGCTGATTTCTTCCTCTTAATGATTCAAGTCTAACACAAAAGCATGAATGTATTATTATCAAACTGCATCTGGAATAATCATGTGAGCAAGAAATAAATACTAATTTGACACCTTCATTGTCTATGTTGAGTCAGTTCTATGTGTTTTTTAATGGAACATCATCTATCAGAATGTCTGGGGTGTTCATTTCTGTTAAAGAGGAGGACCTCACCACTTCCAGGCCCAGAACTGTCCCTCGAAGCGACCCGTAGCGCAGCAGTCTGAGACCACCTGCATTAGTGGACACATTCCCTCCGATATGGCAGCTTCCCTTCGCCCCTAGATCCAGCGGCATGATGAAGCCTCTTTCCTCTAAATAGTTAGACAGGTTCTCCAACACACAGCCTGCCTGACAAGTGAGGATACCTGGAAGCCAAACGAATATCCTTTCAAGAAAAGTATTAAGGTATAATGATTTTGACTTGTTTTTATATTTAGATTTGTCACTGATGATAGATGCTTCATGACAAGTTATAATAGATAACAAGGTGATTTAGCAAACACACCTGAGATGTTGTCGAATGTGATGACTTGGCTCATTAAAGAAGTGGAAAGGATGATCTCATCAAAAACAGGGACGCTTCCTCCCACCAGACCTGTGTTTCCTCCCTGCGGACACACTGCCAGATTCCGCTCATTACAGTGCCTGTGAAAAACATGGATAATTTAATAGCACAATTTTTGTAACCAGCTGTAAAAGTCAATGTGATCATGGAAAACTGACCTAAGAATCTGAGAGACCTCTTCTGTTGTTTTGGGTCTCAGAAGTACTTCACTATTACCTTCAAGAAAAACACACCCATTAATTAAAATATTGCTACTTTTTAATCTTATATAGTATAATTCCTAAACACTACACTTAATGTGTCTAAACACTATCTGTAGATTGTATTTAGAATCTGCTGAATCTTTAGATTGTTTTCATCTTCTATGTTTGCATCATATTATGTCACATATAAACACTTTTAAATTATTTTTGTTGTTGTTTAAAAGAAATAATGATTTTATTCAGCAAGGACACATTAAATTGATCAAAAGCGACAGTAAAGACATTTTATAATTTAACAAAAGACGTCTACTTTAAACAAATATTGTTCTTTTGAACTTCCTATTCATCAAAAATGTTTTCCACAAAAATATGAAGCAGCACAACTGTTTTCAACATTGATAATAAGGTTTTTTTTCTTCTTGAGCACTAAATCAGCATAATAAAATTATTAAATATAATAAAAATATTAAAAGTGAAGGATCTTGTGAAACTAAAAGACTAAAGATGATGAAAATTCAGCTTTGCCATTACAGAAATTAATTTATATATATATACTGTATATGTGTGTGTATATATATATATATATGTTGTTTTAAATTGTAATATTTAACAAACTTACCATTTTAAAATATTCCTGACCCCAAACTTTTCAACTAAAATGTGACAAACGCTCACTTACTTATAGATAAAACATACATAAAACTTGAAAACTATTCTTTAGGAAATGCAAATTGAGTTCACCTTCCACTGTCTTAAGCCAGTCTACATTGCTGGACTTCAGCAGGTCTGGATCAGTGATGGTTCTTCCAGGCAGCAGCGCTCTAAAGAAGGCAAGGTCTTCCTGTGTGACCCTGGAGAAGGGTAACCGTGGTGGGGCAGCACCCGTGTTGCCTGGACTGGCTCCCATCACTCTGCTGTGCACACAGCGATGCTGAATCAGCTGGCTGGAGCGCACTATCAGAGCACTGTCTACTGTAGTGAGATCAGTGCTGTACTGTGGGCACAGGGACCAAATATATGTGGACTTCAGAGGAAGTCTTGCAAACCTCTGAAAGATCCCCATAGCTATAGTGGAGAGAACATGACACAGATTACTTACATTTCAAATTGCTAAATTGTACTTAAGTTTACCACTAACACAATTAGATGTACATTAACTTCAGTCTTATTGCATAGGAATAAATGGTTGATACAGTGAGCCAGCAAATCTATTACAGTCACCACAGTACACAGTAAACATATTTCTAGAACACAATACATGATCTTGAATCTGGTTATGGTAATCCGTTTACATGTTGCAGAATATTCCATAGTAGTAATAATGGTGTATCAGAATATAAACCTATTACATAATGTATAACATGATATTATATTGTGATATATTATTACTGTATTATATAGATTGTTATATTTATTTAACGTAACATTGATGGTCAGTGAATCGCTCATAACGACAAATACTATTGACACAAGGAACTACAAAATGCCATTGAAATAAAAAGCTAATCAAATACATTTCCCGTGGTTTCTGTCTGCATTTGTTACATTAAAGGGTTAACAGCTTATACACCTGACATAAACATGCAAGTGCTTTGACCCGTAGTTCACTAACATTCGTTACGTTTATTCAAAATCTTGCTACAAAACATATCAGGTAGGATACCTACTGTATCAGAGGTGTAGGGAGTTTCAGCTGGTTTCACATTATATCTATATATATATATATAAGGCACTTAATCTTCTGACATTTTTCCTACAACACAGGTCTGTTCAAATGTTACGATTAACTTCCTCATGACCTTTGAGTTTTTGCAACAGGACTACAAAGTGAAACAGCGCTGTCTATTGGCGAGGAGTATAATGGCGCTCATTTATCCAGAGGGCGAGTTTGGTTCCTGTATTATCATTGCATATTTTTTATTATTTCTACCACACATATTATAAAACAATGGCATCGTGTACGTTTTAACTGACAACATGTGGCCCTGGCTGTGAAAACCCAGCTAAAGTCATTTTTTGGTGATTTACTGTTTTCTATATACAATAATCCTTCATAAGGTAAAGAACATTCTTTGAAAATGTAACATTGATATCTTTATTACTGACAAAGATCATATCAAAGATTGAAATCATAGTGAAATTAATGGTTGAAATCAAACTTCGATGCTTGTTATCTCATAGCTTTTGAGACTTTAGCCTGAATTTCACAGAGAGGGTCACATATTTGAATCTTTATTTTCTGAAAAAAAAACAAAAAAAACATCAAATCAGGCATTGCTTATTTTATTGATAATTTATACAGTATTATAAATCTGAAGTAGGTTTTTATAATATGTTTTGCCTTTTACAAGGCGTATTAAAATTGCAAATGCTAATAAAGGTCATTATGAACAATTTTCCAACCCTAATGTAGCAATCTCATGTTGATGTTGGAAAAGCACATAATTTAGATATCTAAAGCACAATGTTGCCTTATACATTAATGTATGAAGTTCCACCTTTATTCATGACATTAACAGCAGTTCACATCTCAGCTGAATCAACATACAGACTATCATTCCAGACTACTGTTAATAACTGATACTGAAGGTGAATTAGTTTAGAACATGACTTGTGCTCTGAAATGGGTCTGTTTGGTGGTGTTATTGCTCATGCCCATCTTCAGCATCCACTTGGACTTCATCCTCCGCACATACTGCATGTCCTTCTGCTGCTGGCTCACAAAGCCTTTACCTGTGAGAGAAGACATGGTTTAAACAGTCAATGGTGCAGAAATAAAGTTAACCATCACCAGACAAAGATAACTCTTGACAGTCCTGACTTTGCAAACCTAACTTACCAAAGTCTCCTGCCCATCCAAGTGCTTTGTACTGTTTAAGGACTCGACCAACAGCCTTCTGGTTATGAGCTGGAACCAATGCCCTCTGAACACCAAACCTCTGCTTATAGTACCTCATTAGGGAGCGATGGCCAATCTTTGCACCTGTAACAAAGTTTGGTTTTATATGCATTTTGATTTTGAATAAAATGCTCAAGTCCGGAGAAATTTACTTTCAAGAGGAAAAGCCTGATGGAATCAGTTAGGTGTAATTATTCTTCAAAAGGAAATATTTCCTGGCATGCTTAATATTTCATCTAAACATCAAGGCAATGTCATAATTAAATGTCATAACATAACGGTTATACAGAAACGTGTTGTAAACACAGCTGTTCAGCAGTACCTGAGGGCAAAGTGAGCTCCAGCGTCTCATCATCAAACTCTACAGTCTTTTTATCAGGCAGTTCACCGTCCTTCATCTCCACATCATCTCCATCTTTAGCATCAGGATAACTGCTCCTGTATGTTTAGAGGGACAATGATTAATGCTCACATTTAAAATACATTTTATTTTAAATATTACTACTGATGATGTTTAAGCCCAGAACCTCAGTGATGGGGAACACTTTTTCTATCTCCATGTTACAACTACAAATATCACACAAGAAATCTACTTTAAATCGAAAAGCAAAAAAAATCTGAATTTCTTGCATTACTGATTAATTTAATAATGTAGGTTAATGTTAATTAATTTATTAGTACTTTTTTATTTAAGTCATAGAAGTTTGTTAAAATTAGTACCTAGGGTTAATGCAACTTAATTAATATTAAGCAAGATGCACAAGCATTGCTCACAGTAATTTTTTTATTTAATTACAAATCATGTGATATAAAATGACAATCCAACAAAACGCCTGGTCAAAATATTTCAACAAATGTACCTGAAGTCATAAAAGTCTGCGAACTCGAGAGCGGCTTCTCTGTCTGTGAATAGTTTGCAGTGACTCTTGTCGGTCATGTGTGCCTGAACTGCTTCTGTAGTGTAGAACGACTTCCCTTTTTCATTACACCATAAGCACACCTTACCAACACCAACCTTCTCTCCTACAGAGAAACACACTGATTACTGCAAATTCATAACTAATATTTTGAAAGACAACTTCAGTTCTCTCGCTGGCTTACCTAGGTATGAAATAAATCCTCTCAGGTCCACCAGATACTCAATATCAGGGAGGAAGAAGCTGTGCGTTTTGGTCATGTGCGTCATGTTTCGGGCGAGTGAGCGTGAATGATGTCCGCAGAACAGACAGTCTGTCACTGGGATGGCCCCGGGGGCCGGAGCTGCCCCAGATGTGGAGTACTCTTCCATCTCCTCCTCCTCCTCCTCTTCGTCATCATCATCATCATCACCATCCATATCCTCATCCTCATCAACATCCTCCCATTCTTCAAAGAAAAAACAAGATTCTTAATTAGCGGTTTCAAAGCAAATCCGGTCAATTCAGTATTATTTATATGGAATGTTCTACAACACAGACTGTTTCAAAGCAACTTCATATTATTAAACATGACAACTACAGTGTACATGTTGTAAAATTCTTCAATTATGAAACTAATTGACTTTCAGCTGTAAAGCAGCTCAACAGAAGATAATAGTTCAATTCAGTTCAATGCTGATTCAATTCAGTTCAATAACTGTCAATGATGGTAAGTTCATTTAACACTACAAAAGACTTTATCCAGCTCAATTCAGTTCAAATTTTGTTCTCATTTAAAAGTGTCAGCACATTTAAATAATAAATAATATTACTAAATATTAATTGTCTTTTAAACTGAGCAAGCCAAAAGCGACAGCTGCAAGGCAACAGTGATTTTATTCTGTGTATTTTATCTTCAGAAAAAGATGTTTAGTTACGATTTATATTGTTCTTTTAATAATTTTTTTTATCTTAATTTGATTAATTTCCTAGCACTTTTAATAATTTTTTTTACTGTTATTTGTTACTTTTATTGTATATTTTCCTTTTCCTGTCATAATGCTTTGGCAATATTGAATGTAAACACAATCATTCAGTTCAAAAACTGAAATTAATATTGTATTTTATTGTAAATGATTCTTACCCTCCTCCTCTTCTTCACCCTCCTCCGCTGCGATCTTCTTGGCCTGCTGCTTGAACCACTGCAGCCGAGGCGCTTTGTCCGGCCGCGTTCTGACCTGTTTCTCTGTGGGTGTGGCTTTAGAGGGGGTGTGTCTCTGATGCTCCCTGAGTGCTTTCTGAAGTGCTTCGTTCTGTGCGTCTTTATCTAGCTCTGCCCCTTTCTCCAGATTCTTCTCATTCATTCGCTGGACAGTCTCCTGGGCGGCGACCAAGGCTTTCCTCTCAGCGTGCAGGTGCTTATTGGATTGGATGTGATTGTTGTAAGCATTGTCAGTGGATAATTTTTTGTTGCAGGTGGCACAGTAGGCCGAGCCGTGTCCACCGCTCTGACTCTGCTGCTCGGCCGCTGCCCGCTGTGCCAGCACTCGCTCCTGGAAGTTTTCTGAGGTGACCGGAGGCATGTCTGCAACCTTTCTCTTCAGATTATAGCGGTGCCAGTCTGTTTTATAATGTGCCCGCTGGACCTCCCCATCAGAGAACTGCACACGGCAGCTGATGCACGTGTACGACATGACTGCAGAAAAATATACAGTGATTATGAATCAAATTCTTTCATGGTATTTTTACATTTGGGTCACATTTGTGATTCTGACAGTTTAAACTACCCAAAGACCAAATTTGATTGAATTTAATGCATTATATGTTAGTTCAATAATATTTTAATTTAATATTTTCTATTTGTTTATTTCATGATTCTCTAAAGTAAGCACTGTTCATTTCTATAAAAAAATAACAAAAATATTAGAGAAAACTAATTTTATATTATTTTTCAATTAATGCAATATTTAAGTTAAAATGGAGAAAATGCATTTAAAATTTAATGATTGGGGGCAGATTAGTAATAAAAATATGTGACCCTGGACCACAAAACCAGCCATGAGTAGCATGCGAATATTTGTAGCAATAGCCAACAATACATTGTATAGGTCAAAATTATTGATTTTCCTTTTATGCCAAAACCATTAGGATATTAAGTAAAGATCATGTTCCATGAAGATATTTTATAAATTTCCTACCGTAAATATATCAAAACTTAAATTTTGATTTGTAATACACATTGCTAAGAACTTCATTTGGACAACTTTCTCAATATTTAATTTTTTTTGAACCCTCACATTCCAGATTTTCAAATAGTTGTATCTCAGCCAAATATTGTCCTATCCTAACAAACCTTACATCAATGTGAAACTTATATTCAGATTTCAGATGATGCATAAATCTCAATTTCAAAAAATTGACCTGACTGGTTTTGTGGTCCAGGGTCACATATGTACTATAATGTGGAGACAATACAAGTAAATATCATGAAAAAGGTCAATATTTTTTGTCACTCATTTCAGAAAGTGAAACCCAAATATTATATAGATTCATTAAACAGAGTGAAATATTTCAAGCCTTTATTTCTTGAAATTTTGATGATTATGGCTTACAGATAACGAAAACCCAAATTTCAGTGTCTCAGAAAATTAGAACATCAAGTTCAAGTTCAAGTCTGCTTTATTGTCAATTCTTCCACATGTACAGCACACACAGTGAATTGAAATTGCGTTACTCTCAGACACTTGGTGCATACAGATAACAAATACAGACTATACAACTATACAAATATACAAATAAGGTAAAATGTAAAAATATATATATAAAGCACAAGGCATATGGCAGATAGAGTGCAAACCAGTAAAGTAAACAACAGTGCAGATATAATGATTGTAGTGCAAAAAAATGATTTGTAGTGCAAAAGAGCTTATTCAGACTGATTAAAGTGACAGTGTGTGTGTGTATTTGGGAGGGGGGAGTGGGAGAGTCCGTCAGAGGGTCAGAGTTCAGTGGTGCGTGGGGCAAAAGAGGGGATGGGGGGCAAGGTCGGGAGGGAGTTCAGCTTCCTGACAGCCTGATGGATGAAGCTGTCCTTCAGTCTGCTGGTCCTGGCCTGGAGACTCCGCAGTCTCCTCCCTGATGGCAGCAGACTGAAGAAGCTGTGTGTCGGGTGGGTGGGATCACCTGCAATGCAGAGGGCTTTGCGGAAGGGAAAAGTGTGGTAGGAAAAGGTG